GAGAGAGAGAGAGAGAGAGAGAGAGAGAGAGAGAGAGAGAGAGAGAGTGTCTAAGGATAGCTTTATCTGTAAAGGAGTTAGATGTGTAAAACTAAAGTCGGTGGCGTTGCCATCGCCGGGCCAGGGGGAAAGGAGTCCCAAGGAAAACAGTTGCGCAGAACTGGACAATTTGCTCAAAGCGCCTTAAGAAGTCGCCAGGATCTTATCGACAAGCGAGTTTTTAATCATCGGGTACCTATTACGTTGAGCGGACGGGTTGGGAAGGCAGATATCGGTCATTTCGAGACCGAGAAACTTTGAGCGCTCAATTTCAAACGCCGCGGGCAAAACCTGGTTTGCCTACTTTGTCTATTTTCCCCGGGCATTTCTTGTCAACGCTGAAGCCGTCGGTTAAACAAACCGCGCTTCTCCAAGGGGTCAGAAGGCAGCGGAGGGACTCCCGCGAGGGAATTCCTCTCCGATGTGGCCGCCCGGTTCGGGGAGGGCGGCCGGGGGGGGGGGGGGGAGGTGCGCGGGGAAGCGGCCCAGCTCCTCCTCCGCCGCGGGGCTAACCTGGAGGGGAGGGCAGGGAGGTAGTTCCTGACAGGTCGCGCTTAATCGGGCGGAGGGTTTCCCGGGGATCCCCGAAGGCCACCCAGGACAGTGGGAGCTGCCCCTGGAATTTTGGTTTGGTCCCTCGGCTCCTCGTCCTCGGAGTCACTCCCGCCATCTAAAAATAAACCAGAACGGCGGAGGCTTTGCGAGGGATACATTAACGGGATGTCCCGTTGGGAAGGGCGGCGGGTGGGCGGTCGGAAGGCGAGGACCAACTCTGACGGCCCAAGGGAAAGGGTTAAAAAAAAAAAAAAGAAAGGAAGAAAGGAAGGCAGGGAAAAGCAGAAGTTGTCCGAAGAAGAACTTACAAAGTCCAACTCCTGCCCGCCACCCTCTGCCTCTCCCCTCCCTTTCCTTCTTTGAAAACGGCCCTCCCAAGAGGTCCTAATCTTTGGTTTCCTCTTTTATGAGAAAGATAAGAAGGAGGGGGAAGGGAATCCTTCCCAAGGGGAACGAGGGGACTGCCCCGACACCGAGGACTTCACGCCGCCTGACTCTTCTGCCTCACCTAACAGATTAGGAGACAGATGGGAGAAGCGCGTCA